TTAACGTTAGTATTATGTTTACTACCGTAACGTGGCTTAATCATGTGACCGGAAAATTTTTTGTGGGTGATCTACATGGGTTTTTTTTGCACTACATGACAGACGTGAACATTCGGTATATAAAAGTTCATAACTTTTTTCACCCCGTTTCATAATGAACATGATGTCTGGCCGTTTCCCAAACCGCCCATTCCCTTTTCTATCGGCACTAGCGCTACTTTTACGTTCGGAACTACTGACGTATGTTAATTTTCTTAGTGGAAGACACTTCAATGTAGCGCGGATTGCTGGTAATATAATATTGTTTACATAAGTGCCTTCACTTTGCAATCCCTCAAACTCTGGACTAAACACCGGATTATTCCAAGCGTCTCTCCTAATCAATAGAAAGATTTTTTTATAAGGCACTTAGAACAAACTAATAGATGCATATAAAATGATATGAAATATAAAAAAAAAAAATACTTACAACGAATCTAAAATTTTCTCAGTAACATTTGCAAGCTCAGGACCAGATTCTTTCCACTCCCCGTTATGAGTAAGTTTTCGCGGTAAGCTGATTACATGATTCTCAATAAAACTATTCACAAATTCTTTACATTTTCTTTGCACAATTGTTGGAAGAGATCTTGGTACTATTTTCCGTTTCGGTTCCATAAAGGAATCTCGCAGTTCATCATCCTCCAACTCCTGCACTAATTTTGAGTCGTCACTAATAACTTGGCTGGCCAGAGGGTTTCTCCATTCTAACTGGGATAGATCTTCTCGAATAAGACTAAAGTGGAGACTTTGATAAAGCAGTGACTTATTTTTTTTAAGCTTTCTCTTTAACTCATCTATGTTTTTTACAATCTGATTCGATTTAAGTGGTCTTTTCTCGTTCGTTTCAACGGCACCAATGTCACGCAAACTACAATATACTATGCGTCAGTATTCAGTTATATAAAATTTTCATCATTAATAAACGCATATATTGTCAGTACATATGCAAAGTTGTTATCTTTGTGCGGCCGTCACGCAGATAAAACTCTGTGTGGTACTAAAATAGCCACATAATACCTATGAACTAATCACCCTCTCATGCATGAGGAAAGATTCCTGGGGCAGAGCTATTAGGATGATTAAGAACGTAGGTGACAGTTTATTCACTGTCTTTTTCGGCATCCGTCTCACGAATGAACCACATAAAATCATCATTCGAAAAAATTTCATTAAAAAATTAAATTGCTAACCTGCGGATTAATTTGGAGAAGTTTTGTACGACGCGAAATGTTTGTTGTAGCCAGATTATTTACGTTTGCTACAGCCCTGTTTACAATAGTTTTTAGAACGTTTTGCGAAATCTCAGAATCTTCTTCTATTCCCTGAAAGATAACAGAGGTTGCAGTGATATGTTTTGGTGGGGCAGATACCAAAAAATCGTAAACTTTAGAATAAATTTCTTCAGTATCCATTCTTGCGGTGTCGAATTGATTTGAAAATATAAAAAGCGCAAAGTGTAAAATTAATAAAATTTTTGAAAATATAAAAAGCGTAAAATCACTAATAAAGCGACAAATAACCATAACTTCGAGGTACTGCCCTTTTATATAGTTTTCGTTTATCTCTTCTCTGAAACTCAAAATGTTAGAAAGGTTAGATTGAAGCAAAAACACGCAATCTTACATCAAAAAATTTCTAGAAGTTGAGATAATTCTATAAATTATGAAATATATGCATCACGAGTTATAGAGCTATATAAGGTCAAAATCGTTATTAAGGGACATGATACTCCGTCGTACATACATACATTGTGCGCATTTAGGCCAGATAAGGTTTCGGTCCAGAGTTAGGCTCCCACAAAATAAATTCAGAACATATCGATATGTGGCATGAGTTAATTGACCGACTTTGGTTAGGTACTAATTCCAGAAAATTAAAAAATGGCACTAGATTGTGCCCCGTCTCACCAATTAGTTATGAAGCCTTGTAAGGTGATACAGATAAATTTTATAAGGGAGGTAGGGGTATTATGGCGAAGCTAACAATTATTGCTCGTATCATGTGATATGCTGATCGAAATA